TTCTCAACCTATTCTTATTGGACGGTATTTGGCGAAGCCCTGCCGGATATAAGAATGGAGATTATGTAATGGTGTTCAAATGTTTTTCGTAAATGAATGTTTTCATAGGCTATGCTTAGGAAAGATGGATTGTTTGCAAAATTAGTTAGAATTACGTAGGTGGATAATCCATGCTAACTGCAGATAGGTTATAGTTAATTGAAATTCATGAAACATCTTTCTTTAAAACCGAATTAAACGAATGTTATTGAGTTTAATTCATATGATATATAAATTGTTAAAATCCCAAGGTTGAATGGTTGACTATAGTATGAGGTTCGTGGTGAAGTCAATCCCTAAATATCTCTTTTCTTGATCTCAATCCTTTTATTTCGTTTATATTCTTTTATGTTTTTAAATTGCATCACAACACAACAAATCAAATCTTCCTTCTAAATTAAAATAGCAATTAATTGAAGACTTGATAAACTACCACAGTCCTTGAGGTTCGACACCCTCAATATAGCCCTATCTTGCAAGGATTCGTTCTATTGTAAGTGGTATTTTATTATTGATAAATAAAAACACACATTAAGCATGTTACTACAGATTTTATGACACGACTTCTGAGGACAGTACAGGGCAATGACGCAGTTTGGGTCGTAGTTGATAGATTGACTAAGACAGCTCATTTCTTGCCTATTAGTATGTTGGACGATGTTGAGGCGCTTAACCAGTTGTATGTGAGCGAGATTATGAGATTGCATGGTGCTCTAGTGACCATTTCAGACAAAGTTTCTTGGTTTACTTCCAGTCCTGGGGAAGGGTCTATACAGCACTTGCTACGCAGTTGCATTTCAATATAGCGTTTCATCCACAGACGGACGGTCAGTTGGAGGATATGCTTCAAGATTGCATTATTGATTTTGGAGGCAATTAAGAAGATCATTTGTCATTGGTAGAGTTTGTCTACAACAACAGTTATCAGGCGAGCATTGAGATGGCACCATTTGAGGCGTTGTATGGTAGACCCTATAGGTCACTGGTTTGTTGGACTGAGGTGGGCGAAGTAGCCATCTGAGGGCCAGAAGTTGTGCATGAAACTGTAGAGAAAGTCAAACTTATTAGATAGAGGTTGCTTACAGCTCAGAGCTGATAGAAGAGTTTAGCAGATAAATAGAGACGACCGTTATCTTTTGATGTAGGAGACCACATTTTTTTTAAGGTTTCGCCATAGAAAAGATTGATGAGATTTAGGAGGAGTGGCAAGTTATTGCCATGGTTCATTGGCCCGTTGGAGATTTTGGAATGCATTTGCAAGGTTGCTTATCGGTTAGCATTGCCATCGCATATGGACAAAGTCCATAATGTTTTTCATATGTCTATGTTTCGAAAGTGTAAGCCACGTCCATTGCACGTTTTGAGTTGGGTTGAAATCGATGTCGACGAAAATGTGACTTACGAGGAAAGACCAGTCTAGATTCTTAACACTTGGGAACAAGTGTTAAGGGACAAGACGATTCCATTAGTAAAGGTTTTGTGGCATCATCACAGTATTGAGGAGTTTACTTGGGAACTTGAGCAGGAGGTTCGTTCCAAGTACAAACTTATTTTCTTCCCCAAGTTTGCTTTGATTTTGGAGACAAAATCTTTTTAAGTTTGGGAGATTGTAATGTCCCGGAATTTTTTTCTAGATTTTTCGTTATTTATTTTATTTTCTATGTATCGTTTTACGCGCTAAGTGGGACCTGGTATATTTTTATTGCATATGTTTATTTAGTTGTTGGGACATTAGTGTGCTATATATATGTGTGTGCATGTGTGTGTGTGTGTGTATATATATATGTGGTTGGATTGAAGAGAAAGATATTTGGTGGCATGTGTGTATTTATTTTAAAAAATGAAGGCTAGTTTGGTAATTTTGGCAAGTTAAGTGGATGCCTTAATTTTGGGCCACACATTTGAAGGCTAAGGTTAAGCCTTATAGTTCATTCTCATCATTCACTCTCCCTCTATTCTCGTTACTCTCTCTCATCCATTCCTCTTTTCTTCTTTTCTTCTTCTATCTAGATCTTGCCTTCATGAGTGAGAATCATAGGAAGCCGTAGTTAGAGAAAATGTAGATCTTAGCAAGGAGTATGTCTTAACACTGACATTGCATACATTTGGTGGAATTTGGGTTTGGATCTTGAGCTAGATTTCATCTCTTTGAGGTAGGGAAGTCTAAACTATAAGGTCTTTAATCTTTGTGAGTCTTCTATTATGTGTACTTGATGAAAAATATGATGTGTATGTGAAGGTGTTATTAATTGCAAGTTGATGTTTGATCTTGAGATGACATTTGCCCTACATAATTAATGTTTTCAATGTGATGATTTGATGTATTTGATTTAAAGCATGCTATGATGATGATGTATTATGTTTATTTCCTTGAGAGATGTTAATGTTGATGTATAACATGCATATCATGGACATTGGTTGGGTTATGGGTTGGAAATGATGTTTTAAATGGTTTCTAATGGTTTTGTAAAGTTGATTTTGAAAGCTTTGAAATGTTTTGAAAATGATTTTGTAAAACGGGCGCTATGAAGTTGCCTTGTGGTCCGGGGTTAACCAATCTAGAAGGGGGCACAAGACAGTTTGGAAGTGTGTAGTTGAACTACCTAGGCCCCAAATGACGCTAAGGAGACGCCTTAGGTTAAGGATAGCCAGTCAATTCTCTTCGTGATGCCTAGGGTTTATGTTAACATTTTCTATGTGGGTTGTGTTATAACGAGAATGTTTTTTGAAATAAGGTGAGTGCATTTCATGGCATTCCATTTCATTATTTGTAAGGCATGGAAATTAGATTATGATATTGCTATATTTCCCCATTATATGACCCTTTTCTCTTGTTATCCTATGCTTTGGTTATAATTCACGGGATTACAAGAGGTGTATTTTAGGCTATCTCTATTGAGTCGTTGTGCTCACCCTATATTTAACATTTTTAGGAAGTGGCAAGGATGTGGTGGATGAAGAGCCCCCATATGCTTCGACATAGCTTGACGATTATTCTTGCTATCTTTTTGTAAGGCAGTCTTTTAAGTATTTGACATCATGTAATGACCTTATTCCTTTGCCCATTTTAAGAGAAACCGTTGTATTTGTGGCCACGGAGGCCTTGTAATGTAATCTTATTCCTTTGAATCTCATTTTATCATTTCAAGGATGGACGAATGTTTAAATGGAGATTTAATGGTCAATGATGAATGAGGGATATTATTTTGAAGCTTCAAAGTAATGGTTGTATGTTTAAATGATGTTTACGGGGTGTTTATTTACGTATTGGTTGCCTTATAATTGCATTAAAGTAGGCTCGGGAAGTGATCTGAACGATCAGATCAGATCTGTGTACCATCTGACCGGTCAGATGCCCCTATCCTATTGGTTAGATGGGCCTGGCAATAGGTGATTTTGGCCATATCTCCCATCCGTGTGTATAGATCCTCTGATGTGTGCACACAGATGGGCATCTGTGCGCACATATAATTCTATGTGTACGCACAGTTCCCCTTATGTGTGCGCACAAATGACCTTTACAGTTTGTTGTTTTCACTGGAATGTTGATCTTACCAAGTGTGCGCACAGATGGTCTAGTATTTGCATTTTGACCCTATACTCTAGTATATTACATATTTATCCCCGGACATGTTCCTAACCATTGAATAACCCTAATAGATAACAGTTTTACCTTTTTTGAGCCCTAAGCCATATATGACGATGCTAAATGACTACTTTGCCCTTGGGGACTCTAAGAATCACTATATTGATGGGAAATAACCGTAATACCCTTATATGGCCTCGGGTTAAGGTAAGGACCCGTGTAGTGATCTGGACTCCCGGGTTTGGGTCGTTACAGGCGTTTAACAAATTGAGTCTTGGTAGAGTGAAGGGGTGTGAGCCTGAGTCAAAGTTTGGTGTATTTTGCGTCATACATAATGGATTATTTACACTAGGGATAGCGCAAAAATTCTTGAGGTTTTCTAATTGGTTTCCTTGCTAAAATCTTGGTGTCATCTCATTAACTTTACTTTACTTTTCAGTATTTAGTTTCGTGGTTGTGGATGTTTAATTGGTCATATTTGTGGGTAAATTAATCAATCACAAAAATTGGGTGAAGTTGACCTTATCACCTCATCTAGGTCATTTAGATAGTTAATCACAACTTAATCAACTAACAGCTTCCGCACCGTGTTACTTATAATTCCATCATCCAAACATTGATGGATGGTCATCACTGCCTTTTGGTCCTTCTTTCTCATGACTTGTAAAACATCTTTTTTGGCCTGAGACAAAGTTGCCTTATCTTGTGGCTCAACATAATCTTTGGTAACAACTTCACACACATCTCTTACGCCCAAAATTGCCTTCATATGGATACACCAATTTTCATAGTTTTCTTTGGTGAATCGAGGAATTTGAAATGGAATTGAATTGTTTGCCATTTCTTTTCTCTCTCACACAAATTAGCTCTGATACTACTTTGTTGGAAATAGTAACCTAGATACACACACAATACTCAATACAATATTTGGAAGAGAATTAAATGGAGGAAATTAATTTATCTCACTTGATTAATTAAAATAGCTAAAAATACTTGAGATTATATAGGCTTCAAAACACATGTAACAACTATATATAAATGAAAATTAACACCCCGTTAACACAACAATTAGTTGGTACAACTCCCACTAACAATGACTATTACTAGTTGTAACTCTCATGCCTCTCACTAACTCCAATAAAAAACTCTAATTAACATAAAATTAAATACCAAATAAAAAACACGGATAACCTTCAAACACTTTAAAACATATAATCAAGTTTAATTTCTAACATGTTTGACCAAACTTTGGTACACACTAAACTGATCATAAATATATGAAAAATGATATTTGAGTTATTTCTAAGGTCAATGTATATAGCTTAAGGTGTTTATATTCCTTTGACCCAATCGATATATCCAAGTGTGGTCCAATCTATGACATCAAACTTGATGGAATTTTGCCATTTATCTCGTTGTAAGATAGATAAAGCCCCTGCAGATTTGAAAGACGATGGGACACATCCATTGGAAGACTACCAGATATGCTATTGTTTGTAAACGCAATAGCTTGCAGTGAGGAAATGTTGAAGATGGCGAGTGGCAGAGAACTTGTAAGCTGGTTATGCTGTATGTCCAAAATCTTCAAGTTACGAAGATTACCAATATGTTGTGGAATCATTCCTTGTAGAATATTGGAATACAAGATCAAGGTCTCTAGCTTCGACATGTTAAAGAGGGAAGGTGGGATGGTACCTGTAAAACTGTTGTTACCAAGAATTAATTGTTGCAGTCTACCCAAGGCACCTAGTCCTGATGGAAGGTGTCCACTAAATTTGTTAAACCACAAATTCACGAATTTCGATCGACGCAGATGAACTAACTCATCAGGGAGATGACCAGTGAAAGTGTTGTTACTAAGGTCGAGGGAAACGAGAAAGGAGAGGTTACCCAGCTGTGATGGAATGGTACCATCAAGAGCCATGTTAGAAAGGTCCAAGGATGTCACTCGTTGGCGCCGAATGCCACAAGTGACTCCAACCCAACTGCAAACGGATGTAGATCGATGTGGAACAGTTGTTGGCCAAGACACCATGAGGGTCAAAAGTGATATGGGCTTTCAAGGAAAGAAGAGAAGATTGATCAGTGATCATGTTGGGTACAGTCTTAGCTAAACAAGCCACAAGATAAGGCACTAACAAGTACATAGCATGCAAAAGAAATAGGCATGTTTTCTCCATGAGTGTTTGTGATGAATTTGGAATACCAACTCAGATTGCAGTAACACATTTAAACAAGGAAAACTATCTTTATATATAGCATATATTATGTATTTAAATAGCTTGTTGCTGTGATGAAGTAAAGATGTCTATTTGTTTAATAAAAGCCGCCATAGACTTCTCTTTAAAAGCAGTACTTAACGGTCTCGACAAAGATTTGAATCAAACAGCTCGAAAATATATATAACAGTGTCGTCGTGTTATTCTTGTTCTTAGATTAAAAGAATACTAATATAGGGTTCTATTTTATATTGAGCTAGGCTGGTTATTTGGCTCAATGCATGACAAGTGACAGTGCTCTCAAGATACCTTGTTCTACGTTAATCTATTACGGAGTACATTAATTTATATGTGTAAACTATGCATGTACGTATTGCAACCTATTTGCTAATAGTCAAATATTTTAGTTTGGTCAAATATGCATATTATATATCGTCAAATATTTTAATTAAAATGCTACCTATTTGCTAACTTGTTATTTTAGTTTGGTCAAATCTGGATATTATATATTGTAAAATATTTTAATTAAAATGCTACCTATTTGCTAGCGTCAAATGTTTTAGTTTTGGGAGACTATATTTGCAATATCTTTTTTAAGGGTGCACCGTGCCTGTTTTTTTTTTTTTTTTCAAAAAAATTGATAAAAAAGTCCTTAAACTAACATTCCTTATTTTATTATGCAATAACTAATCTTTACACTATGAACTTTTACTTCCCCTTTCTTTTTTTTTTTTTTTTTTTTTTTTTTTTTTTTTTTTTTTTTGTCAACCAGATAATTTATTCAACTATAACTTTTTTTTGGGATATTTTTGGCCAGCCAAAAGAGAGAAATTATTCAATAGTGATAACTTTTTTGCTGGTTTTTTTCCATCTATATATAGTTTTTGAATCTACTTGAATCAGACAATTTATTCCATAGATATATATTTTTTTGGTAGGTGGATATAATTTATTTAATAGAGACAGAACTTCCTGCAACCGGTTACAAAGTTCATGCTATTCCCCAGAGCAAATTATATGGTATACTTGGATTATAAATTCATAACTAGTACTCTTAATTTTGATGGTCACTTGTAATGTTTGGTACACTCTTAGCTAAACAAAGCCACTAGACAATGCCCTAACATTACTGCCCTAACATTACTTCAGAGATAGTGATCTACATATTTACTTTAGAGATAGTGATGTACATATAAAGATTCATGATTGTCTAAGTTCGCAAGAAATCGGGTTGTGTTTGAATTTTCCAACTTAAGTTTCATCCCTAATTCGAGGTCGGGTGGGGACAAAAAGTATGTGTGAAAGTATTTCTTACCAATAAAAAAAAAAAATTGCATTCAAGTCCAAATTAAATAAATTTTGAAGCCAAAGACTCCTTAAATTAAGCATGTTCTTCCCTTCCATGTTGGACTCAAGGCAGTCCTATTTAGTTAACACCTAGCCTCCACTGGACTTTACTATAACTGATATGATGAGAGTTAAATTTGTTAAAGAAATATTGCAATGTTCTGGTCAATAATGATTACTATGATGTATTTATATATGTTAGATAAAAAAATGTGACATTGACACGATTTGTGTATCCAGGCACAATTAGTCGCCTTCACATTTACCTGTGAGAAGTGATTGGATATCATCGATTGCAGTAACCAAATACCCGCCAATCTAAACATTTCATTTAGTAAAAAATGAAATATTTTGATTGACCAGGAATATATAGTATATATATATATTTTTTTTATTTATTTCGTGGCATGTAAAACGATGTATAAAAAATAAATAAAATAAGATTCTAAAAAAATTCAGGACATTATACATACACACCAGAAATTATTTCCGTTTGACTTGGTACAAAGAAGTGCAAGGTTGTCACCACAATCTCTCTCAAGGTTAGTGGTAGAAGCATTACACATTCTCACTAGTAGAATTTTACATGTACTTCTAGAAATGCCCTTGGTTTGCCGCATATCAGCACTATTAGAGAAATCATTATTAAGGTAAAGGAAAATAATAACTGATGCAATATACCTTATGCAAAGAATACCATACATACACAGAAGACAAGTTGGACCGAAGTACCCTTGAAAATTCAAATGAGATTACAAATATACCCTTCAAATGGACACGTCTCATAGACCAGAATACTATAGCTACATGTGTGAATGCATTTCAACCAGAATAAAAGATCTGTGATGCAATGTAGCACCCTAAATAAGTGTAATAAGATCACTCTCACATGTATAAAGACTGAAGTACCCTTGAGAGTGAATGGAACTAAACCATGAGTGATAAACCAGCAAACTAAGCTTCATTAGCCTGTTATTAACCTTGGTAGCACAATGTATCTTCTTAATTGATAATGTACGTAGTGAATGAAGTACCCTTGTAATGGCCTGACATGCTAAGGTAATGACTGTAATCCCCTTGAGTGTGACATACAGTATATTTAACATTGAAAGTGCAAACCAAACTTTAATAGTGACACATAGGGATCAACAGAAACCATGATAAATTGATTTCTTGGGTAGGGAGGTTATTGTTGTGAGGGACTTATTTGTTATTACTTATATAATGTAGGGTACTTATGTGTTATTACTAAAACTTCTTAGTATAAATAAAATGTGGTGGAAGGATGAAAGAAATTTTTTTCATTCTTTATCTTTTCCTTATCTCTCTCTTTTTCTCTCATAGTACTCTTCCTCTTATTCTTCTTCTTCTTGTACTTTACTCTTGTTTTGATTTTCTCTTAAAATCAACATAGTATCAGAGCATAGTTTGTAAAGCTCTAGGGTATGTAGTTGAAACCTTAGGGTAAGTTCATGTAAACCCTAATGGTTGTGAAGGGTTTTGAAGAGATTCCAAGATGGGATATGTTTGCAAAAAGTAGTTTTGACCTATTTTTGATATATTTCAGTCTCGATCAGTGGTTTTTTTTTTTTTTTTTTTTTTTTTTTTTTTTTTTTTTTTTTTTTCCTTCCTGTGTCCGTGTGGTTCTACAACAACGACTTTTTCTTTGTCATTCGCGATTCTGGTATAGTCAACTTTGTTGCTTTCTAGGGTTTGTGTGGTCACTTTTTATGTATCTCAGATGATGGTAATCTTTCTCGTTGTAGTTGTTTATGTGTTAGAGATGTGGTTCTCTACATAGTTTTTGTTGTTCTATTTTTGAGGAGTGTATACCTAGAAACTGTTTGATAAAATGTTTCGCTCAGAGGTGACTTCAAAAGAAGCAGGGTTTTCTTTTAGTGTGACTCCATCATTTGGAGGTAGTAGTGATTATTTGTATTACGATTGTTAGGCTGGATGAGACAAACTATATGGAGTGGACTCAATCTACTCGTATTGTGATGGCCCTGGTTTTTCAAGCCAGTACATCCTGTGATGAACCGAAGATTGACCCGATAACGGATCCAGATGCGAAGCAAGAAATAAAACAGCGGTCTCCCAAGTCACAACATGCCTCTAAGACACTTTGATGACCTTCCATGAGGTCGTGGAACTCAATGAGAACTGACGTGGAAGCAAAAGATCTAAAATATGACAATTAAGCCTCTAGGGGCAAAATAGTCATTACGTGAAAATTACGTCCCTAGAATGTACATTATTCCTGAGATACATATGTGACTTCCCATGAAGTTATGGAACTCAAAAGAAAGTAGCGGAAGCAAATTGCAAGAAAACCGGACATAAATAGCCCTAAGGTCAAAATGGTCATTTATGAAAATATGTATTCGGGTGCTACAGAGCACACCGCTGGAAAGATAATGAAAAACTAATCAAGATGGACTTAATAATTGCATGATTCGGAGTCCGGACGAAGGAGAAACGGCAAAACAAATAAAAATGGACATATAAAGCAAAAAGGGTAAATTGGTAATTATTCAGAAATATCCAGGCGTAACTGAGCATACCGTTGGATAGAAAAAAAAACAAAAAAAAAAAATCAGTCAAGTTCAAAATTTTTTTTACTCGATTTGGAGTCCGGACAAGGGAGAAAGGTCAAAAACAAAAACGATGTCGCGGCGGCCCGACGAGGGCCATGACAGCTACTGTTGCTGTTAGCCCACTACTACTACAACCGAGAGTGAAAACGGGCATCAAAACTGACCTTTTTTGAAAAACTCAAAGAAGAAACCCCCCCTACAATCAAGTTTTCTACCTGGCGTTGCGGATGGAAACAAAAAAAATGCGCTGTGAATGTCCAGAATGCCCCCAAGAAAATCAGGTCAAGAGGGTTAAAATCTTTCCGAGCTGCTGCCAAAGGAAAGGAAATGGGGCTTCGAGAGGTTTTTAAATTGCCTAAATTGAAAATGTAATCTTAAAATACACCTACAAGACCCCCAGAAGTTTCGGAACAGTCAACACATTTTTTTTTAAAAAAAAAGTCGATGAATAGTACCAAGTACTAAAATCTCAAGTTCTAAAGAAAATGGCATAAACCAGAAAAATGAACTTTGCGCAGGATTTCCAGGACCAAGACAACATTTTCCGGAAAAATACGAAGAAAAAACCCCTCCTAAAATCACGTTTTCTAAGTGACCATATAAGGCCAGAATTTATTATTTAAATGAAATCCCCAAAATTCCCATATACCAGATTGTGCGTAGAAGTGTCAGAATAAATCCGGAGTATTCATTTTGTAAAATATGACTCTAAGCTCAACAACGATCATGCACGCAAACATAATTTGCCTAAATACACGTGT